TATTTGCCCCTGAAAATTTGATCGAAAGGAGGGATCAGAGGGGAAGGTATTGTGCTAATGTACATGCAATATATTGGTGAAAGCTTCTAGTATTGATGAATTGCAAATCATCAAAGTTTTGCTTAATCTCGGTTGAGGCTGAACTCAGTAACTGAAGGAAAATCAGGGTGCAGCTTTCGCCTTTGCACGTAATATTTCACCTTAATTGTTGGGCCAAGTCCAAAATTTAGTCCATAAGGTGCGTTGTTATATCCGAACTATAATACGCCTTAACTAGCTTTTGATGGTTTGGACGGCACCTGATAGAGGCCCGTGATGAACGGATTCCCGCGTGAAAGAACCAGCCAGTCATTTTTTCTTAAACAAAGTGATGAAACTTCAGTGGCCTTGAGCTGCATAATGCTAAAAGAGCTTGTTTGGATTGTGATTTTTTTGTAGAAAATTTTTTGAAACATTCCTTTGCCACATAGTTTCAATCACATTTCTATATCTAATCTTATAGACACCTCGGTTCAGTATTTGCTAGCGTTTGACATTCATTAGTATTTTGAGCTGGACTTTAATAACAATAAATTACAAAATTTACATAAGAAGGAATCAAATTACTCAAATTTAACTCAATTTTTTATGGGGGTTGAAGGAAAGTTATTTGTAATTAGTGATACAATATTAATCATATAAAATTGGGTAATAAAAAAAAGCCTTTTGAGCACTAAAACTATTCAATTTGTATGCTTTTTGATCACTAAATTATTTTTCGCTTTGGGTTGCCTACTTGATTCTCTAATAATTTTCCTCATTCCATTCTTTTTCCTTTGAAATTATATGATTTTTCACGCATTTGACTCAAATAATCTTGAAAATTAACAAAATTCATAAATCTAACAACAAAATGTGATGAAATAACGCTTAGTCCATTGCTCGTGTAATTTGAATAGATTATTGTAACGCAATGAATAAAATATATACAGGCTCTAGTGGATATTCAGAGGATTAACTTGGAGTGAGTTTGGATATGAAATTGTTTGGGATAATTTTTTTTTAAAAAAATATTATAACATTTTTTTGACATGATGTATATGATGTGATTGAAAAAAAAAAGTGATTAAAAAATGTGTATATAACTCAATCAAATAAATTTTTGCAAATAATGTACCATTCAAATATATTAATAAGTTTTTATTCAAACACAAAGTCCCTATTTGGCAAGTGAGTTTATTGTAATTTATTGTAGAAGTTTTTAAAATTTTTTTTGAAATATTTTTTTTTTAATATTTTGAAGTGTATGGTTTAAAAATTTTGAAAAGTTTCTTGAGATTACTATAATTAAATTTAAAAAACTTATAACAGATAAATTTGACAAAAAACTTATCTGCCAAACACTATCACTATATGTGTAGAAATAGTGAAAATCTATATCTATATCTATATAAATTTGAGAAGGGATTTTTAACAACAAGCCTCCACAACCCTTTCCACTCTCAACTCTATTTTCCTAGCATTTTGTATTTATTTTATTTCATAAAAAAAATCATGGGCACATTACATCCCCACATTTCCCTCCCACGTTCTCTCAAACAAAAATTTAACTTCCACTTACATTTCCACTCTCAACTCTATTTTCCTAGCATTTTGTATTTATTTTATTTCATAAAAAAAATCATGGGCACATTCCATCCCCACATTTCCCTCCCACGTTCCCTTAAACAAAAATTTAACTTCCACTTACATTAAAACTCCAACTCTATTTTCCTAGCATTTTGTATTTATTTTATTTCATAAAAAAAAAAATCATGGGCACATTACATCCCCACGTTTCCCTCCCACGTTCCCTCAAACAAAAATTTAACTTCTACTTACATTAAAACTCTAACACTCCCACGTTTCCTGAAACAAAAATTTAACTTCCACTTACATTAAAACTCTTTCCACTTACCCACGCGTCAGATGGTTGTGGTACCACTACTGATTCCTATTTTCCAGTGAATGGAATTGAATATAGCACATGATCTTTTCCAACTGTCACGGAGCAACAATATACTTGGTCCCACGTTCCCTCAAACAAAAATTTAACTTCCACTTACATTAAAACTCTTTCCACTTACCCGCGCGTCAGATGGTTGTGGTACCACTACTGATTCCCATTTTCCAGTGAGTTGAAGAGCATTGACGAGAATAAAGATAGCCCCTAATTCAACGGAATTGAAGATAGCACATGATCTTTTCCAACTGCCACTGAGCAACAATATACTTGGTACTACTACAAGTAACTCTTACAATTTCACTCCACACCCATCTTCCCACTCTAATTAAAACCCTTCCAATTAACTTCCTTCTCGAACCTCTCAAATTAACTTCACAATGGAACATGGCCGTTTACAGGCATGTCAACAACGCCTAATTTCAAACTCGCAAGATTGCAAAGGAGGAAACATCTGCTAACAAAACGAAAAGGACGCCACAACGGTCCCGCGCAAGAATTGGAAAAGTTCCAACAACTTTGCGTCGACGAAAGAGAAATCTCACATCAACTACGATGGATAAAATCTCGACTACACCGATTCAAACGCCGCGCCAATCAAATTAGAAGTTTCGGTACTATTATTCTTTTAATATTGATATTTTCATTGTATTTTCAATTATTAATAATATTCTCAATATTATATTATTGTTGTTTCCATTGTTTATAAGCATTAAGATTCTTTAAATATTCTACTTCTTCACATGTTACTAATCCTTGCCAGCTCAATCAACAAAGTATGGTACTATGGCTTTTATGTGAGTTTAGGCATTAGACATATAGTTCTCATTGTATTAGTAATCGGATTAGTCTCGGAACATGGTCATAGCTTTGATTAGAGAAAATATATATTTTTCATTAAATGTCTACCTAAATGTCTCTTTCATGAAATAGTCCCGTGACTGTTTTATGAATAGTGGGTATAATGGAAAAAAAAGGAGATACAATCTTATGTGTGTATACAATACATTATAAAGGAAATTATAATTAGATGTAATAATACTGAAAACAAATCTATTATTTCTATGCACAAAGCGCTAAAAGTTTAGAACAAAAATGGAGATTAAGATATTTTCTCCAGTCACCTCGAGTGACTATCCAGACTTAGACACAAATAGCTAGGGAAACTGACGAGGGAGTAATGTAACATTCTTTTTTTTTTTGAAAAAAATATAAAAGTAAGGTAATGTGAATTAACTGAAACATTATACTGAACAAGGAATGCAGTTTGCATTTATTGCAGAAGTCTTTGGTGGAAGATCATGCTTAAAGTGCTTCACTATAGCCCTTTAAATTTGACAAAGGTAACGAGTAATTCCCAAAAGTATACTACGTCCCACATTATGGCTGAACAACTGATGATGGTGAACACTTGTATCAAACTGTTACAAAAAATAATGTTTTGCTAACCTGTGGTATTTGTGTGAGAAATTATAAAGGTAATTTAATTTATTTTCACTTTATTTTATTTAAATTTTATAGTTTATCAATAAATAAAACACATTGTACAGGACCGTCACTCTATACTATTCGAGCAAACAAATTGTATATCAATCACTACTTGGATTTTGCTCAATACCTACACAGTTGGTAAGTTTTACAAATATCAAAATATTAAATTACTAAAAATATTTCATACCCTTATGAATATGTATTTGAAAAATTTGTAGGTTTGAGAATGATAAATGTGCTCAAAAATTAGTGATGTGGTTGCGGTCATGCAATTTTACAATGTCCCAAGCATTGTTGATATCAAATGCTAAAAGAATATGGATATCCGAATATGCAGTTATCCCTACGGTACAATTCCTCTCAAATAATTAAGTAATGAATAAGTATCTAGATATAGTTTCGAATTAATAATTGTAATCTATACATTCTTTGGATGGTTTTTTGTTAAATATTTTCGGATACTTGCTTACATTCAAAGTATCAACCTAGACAATATGTTCCATGAGTTATGCAAAAATTGTGGCCAATCATGTCAATCTCATTTTGCAAAAATGGTGTGTATCCATTGTAATGACGTAGTCGACACTATTGTCAGGTAATTATTTATATATATTTTGAATTTTAATATAATTTATTGCATTATCCATCACAATTTCTTCTTAACAGATACAATGTTAACATAGAAGTTAGAGATTCCAATCGTAACCTATACCTCGCTTTTCAAGACAAACATGCACGATTCATGTTTCGTTGTGATGCTTCTTATTTTAGAGATTTAAAAACAAAGGTATGCATTATTTATATGTATATTTTTTACACAATATTATTTACAAACTGTCTAAAACAAAAGATAATTTTGAACTATGTATGCTTTTAATTATCAGAAAAATGGAGGTGCATTGTTCGACCAACACATTAATTCATGCAAAAATCGTGCATTCTCATTTATAGTGCGAACTCCACAAAAAATAACAGAATTAATTAAACCCCTAATACTGGCATTCGTACTCAGAGTTGATTGGTGTGAAGAATATTCACACCTTCGTAGAAGATTATTAAATCAAAGGCAAAATGTCTGTAAGTATTTCATTTACTTATCAAATTAAATATTCAATTATATTTAATTGGACCCTTATGTCGCTCAATTTATGATATAGATTTTTTTTTTTCAGGATCTAACCTTCATCGAAGTGATCGTTTATAAATAATGGAGATATTTTAATCATATATTGAACTATTATTACAAAGTTTCATTTATTTAAATATACTTTCGTGTACCCGTGATTATAATATTTTATTATTTTTAAATTCTTCTATAGATTATAATTTTTTTAATAATATAAGCACCGTGCATAATATGGATATTCACACTAGTACTAAGAAAATTTTTTACTACCTCGCGAGGCTGTGTTCGATTCGGACACCATCACCGTTTGTTAATATGCAGAAGGATAGAGAAATCGACGCTTACACGCACCCATGTGAGTTAGAAATCGAATTAAGTTGGAAATCGAAACGTCATCACCTACTCCTCTTTTTTTCCTTCTCTCGTTTACTCCCCAACTATTCTCGGATTGCTGCCATTGACGGCAACACCTCCTATAAAAAGAAAATCCAAAACAATATTAGAAATAAATCCAATATTCCTTTTCTTTTCTTTCCATTATTTTCCTCCCAAATAGAGGGGAAAAAAATTTCTAGGGTTTTCCGCACCCTGACCTAACCCCCACCCTCCAATTCCCAAGATTTTACCCCCAGAGAACCCTAATTTCTAACTTAATTCGATTTTATTGAGCTTTAATTGTTCGAGGAGGGTTTGAACTTTTTCGTTGGATTGCATTGTTCTGGATTTTGAGTGAAGAGTTAGGACTATTTTTTTTCCTGAATATTTGAAGAGATGGCGGAGGCAGCGAAAGAAGAAGAGGTGGAGTACGAGAGCGATCCGGAGGAGACGAAGCTGTCGTTGAAGATGCGGAGGAGGGAGGCGAGCGATGATGAGGAGGAAGAGGGTGGAGATGGAGAGGATAGCGAGAGGGGAGAGGCCTTTAAGCCGCGTAGGAGAATCGTTGACTCCGACGTTGAGTCGGACGGTCAAGGGGCTGCGGCAGAATACGAGGACGAAGAGGAGGAGGAGGAGGACTATGGCGAGGAGGAAGAGGATGAATTAATTGACGAGGAAGACTACGCGGAGGAGGATGAGGTTTATGTGGGAGAGAGAAGGGGTGAAATTGGAGAAGTTGAGGCGGTGGGGAAGGAGGCTGAGGCGCAGGTGGACGGACGAAAAGAAAGCCGTGAGGACAGAGTGGGACCCAAGTCAATTGAAGGGCTACAAGGATCCATTGACGATGGTCATTTTGAAGACGGTGCAAACGAGAATCAGCAGGGGGAAGAGATGGGGGAAGAGATAGGGGACGAGGGGGAGAAGAAAGAGATCGAGCCATATGCTGTGCCTACTGCTGGGGCTTTTTATATGCATGATGACAGGTTTCGCGACAATGCTGGTGGAAGAAACAGGTACCAATGCTGATGGTATATCTAATTAGTTGGATTGCTGCAGTATTTGTTTTGATTTTGATTGATTTAATTAGCGTTGAAATCTGGTTTGTGAAATCAGATGAAATATTTCTGCGCGTGAATGACATTTAGTTCAATTCAAGGGGCATTCTGTTTGGTCTCGGTGCAATATATGCAAATTTACATGGACAAACATATTTAGGGAAAATTAACCCCGCCCGGTAGGAATTGTGGTTTTGCTGCATCTTGAAGCATTTTTGTTTCTTAATTCGTTGTTACTTTGGTTGAGAATGTGGAGTAATTTGAGCTGTATTCTTTTATCTTCGTTAGGAAATGTAATTCGGATATGATGCTGTGGCAGTCTTCATATTCTCCCCCCCTTTTTTTGGTGTGTGTGTGTGTGTATTCTTTTTCCCTTTAATCACTGATTCTAGTGAAAGTGGCCCAGAAATTTTAGGACGCTGTTCGGTAATTATTGTTAGTACCCAATCTCTGTTTATTCGCTGAAGCAACCCAGAAACTCAGAAGTGCCAAGTTATGGGCTTTCAACATTGACCTAGTCTCTTAGGTGCTGCTTTTCTTTCATTAACTTTTTAGCCTTTGTATTAACTGTCACGGACAACCAAACATGGTCATAATATAATAGTAGAACATATTAAGCAGTTAAATGTTATGACCTTCTTCAATGTTGAATGTGTTTGGTCAACCATGAAAAATTTATGGGCAGGCAGGGTCACGAAGATTTATCCAAAACTAAGATAGCTAGGACTAAGGCTAGCTGTGGTGCATGTGTGTTATTCTCTTGCTTTGCTTCTTTTCATGAACTGCGTATTTGCTCAAGGTGCTAGGAAACAGTGTTTACTCGCAGGCCATTTAAGATAGTTGATCAAGTAAGTTCTTTTGTATCCTATATACAAATATACTATGGTTCATTCTTCTGAACTTTAACTTACATCTTAAGTACTTTTTTTTTTTTTTAATCTTTTTGGTACTTCACTCTTGCATGAGTATTATGAACCTTGGAAATAATTTAGAGACATGCATATAATGGATGTATGCCATAACTATGACAGAACTGGATATTGTGTTTCCTGTTTTAAGTGGTTGATGAGATCTATATGTTGAGCTCTTTTAATGTTTTGTGCAAATAGTATGACACTTTAAATGTTCTGTGGACTTTTTTTATGCTCCCCTCCCCCCAACAACACAAACAAATACACACATGCGTGCACACACACTTAATCTGTCTCCTTGAAACACTTGTATTTGCGTAGAAACATAAATGCACTCTCGGTTACACAATTTGAATTCTTTTGTTATGGTTTTATTTGGCATATGAATACAAGTACTTTTGTGAAACTAATTGATTTTGTAATTTCTGCTTTTGCTTCTTTAGGCGGACTTTTGGTGGTAGAAAATTGTGGGAATCAAAGGATGACAAGAAATGGGGTCATGACAAGTTTGAGGAGTTGACTATGCAGGAAAGGCATTTTGATGAAGTGAGTGGGGTTTTTTTGGCAGTTCTTCATCATATTTTACTGTGAATTTGGCTTAAATGTCTATCGGGTTTATTTTTGCTGTTAGTTTTTCTGTCGGTTTGATACACATATTATTATACTTTTTCAGGGTCGGAGGAATTCAAGAGGGAGATATCGAGGTCGAGGTAGGAAACGAGGTGCAGAACGGGGCGGATATGTAAGAGGAAGCAGGCCAAGGGCATATAACACTAATAGCAATCAAAATAAGAATAACAATCAGAATAATGCTCTGAAAAGTGTGAGGGGACGAGGACCTAGAAGGTATCAGCCATCTTTTAAGAGCAACGATGAAGTGCGTCCTGCCCTTAACCAACAGTGAGTAGCTGTATTTTGGGATCTCTATATATTTTTTTTTAGTATTTAGTTTCTTCTTCTTGTTTCAGCATATTGAGGAACAGATTTTTTCGTTTTCTGTTTATAGGTCTGGAAAGATAGCTGAGAAACCATTGAATGCTAATGCTGGGAGAGTATCTGCACCTGCATCAAATGTGGAATCTGAAGTAGCTCCTGCTAAAAAACATGTTTTTGCCTCAAGTTTGAATTCAGCTTCACCTCCATTTTATCCCTCTGCCTCTACCTCTAGCTCTAAAGAGATTGCTGTAACGCAGAAGAGGGATTTACATCCTGGGACAAATAACCGTCGGATCCATCCTGTTGTGGATGAAAGTTTTTCTACAGCACAATCCAGTGCAGTCCAACGAGGAAAGAGTGTAGTTGATTCTATTGGCATGGATAAACTTTACATCAATGATTCAATTGCCACAGTTGCTGGGAAACCTTCAACCACTTTTCAGTTTCCACCTGGATCCTCATCAATGAGTTCTAGTCAGTCTCTGCAGCTGAGGGCTCAAGGTAGAGGAATAAATAACTTGCCCCAAGTGACCTACCAATCAACAGGGCCAAATAGCCAGGGCAATAGAATCTCTCCCCCGTCCCAGGTCCATACTACTACTCAGCGGAATCCTGTTCAAAACCGAGGACAACCATCTCTGCAAACTTCTGGTCAGCAGTTGGCTCAGAATCCAGGAGGTGGATCTCAAGTTTCTTCTCCAAAAGCAGTTAGTAACAAAAGCTCTTTTGAATCAGCAGAGACAGAACCTCTTTCAGAATCAAACAAGTCTAAGGCTGCATTGATGGCAAAAGGAAAAGGCAGTGTTCAGGGTAGCGGACGGGGATCCTTTTTGTATGGTGGAGCTCAAGTTATTGGGGCTTCTGGCAACCTAGGAAGTGGTCCTGGAGATCAAAATTTCCCTGCCTTCTTGCCATGTAATACTATTGAGTCTATCTACTTGGTGAACTGAACTGAGTTGGCCTTCTTTTTGGTAGACTTGCAATGGTTTTGGAGATCTTTAGCAATAATTTTCCATATTTCATTTTATTTTATCTACTTGATCAGAATGTTCTACTTTTTGCTTTTGATGAGATTTATACAATTTTTTAAATTTAGCTTGTTGTCTAAAATGCTTCTGGTTAATGGAAAATGCAGTTATGCAATTTGCGGCCCAGCGTCCAGGTGGTATTGGAGTTCCTGCTGTTGGCATGGCCTTCCCGGGATATGTTGCCCAACCCCAAGTTGGTGGTTTAGGGAATTCTGAGATGACTTGGTAATCATTTTTCTCAACATTTTCATCTGATTTTCCTACTAAAAATCTCAGAGATTTGAATGTGTGTTCTTTTGGCTTCTAAGTTCCAACATATTGAGTATGATTTTCTATTTTTTTGTCTATTTGATTTCGAAACGGGAATCAATTTCCTGCACACTACTTATGACCAGCAATTGACATATGAATTAGGACTATGCTTGTGGATACTATGCTGATTCTGGTGTTAACCTATTGACTTTATACTAGTGCAATCTTGATTACAAAGCTAGCCTTATTGTGAGATAAAAAAGGAGAGTTTCACTTCCTTGTTAACAGCTTGAAAATTATTTTGCAAGTTTAGTATTGAAACCTCTATAATTCAGTGAGCGTATAATGCAATAGGGGGAGTTATGAGATGAATTAATTATTTTGGTTGGAGCAGTTCTGACCAAACACTTGAATGGTCCCCGGGGGCACAAAGTGTTTGTTAAATAAAGCTTTGAACAGGTGACTTGGAAGTGATTACAGTTGTTCTAAACAATTAGTGAATGCAAGAATATGGTCAGAGCTACAATCCCCCCTAGGTAATCTTGTAATGCTTCCTTTGAAATGAAAAAAGTTTAGCCTTCTTTTCCTTTCTCCGTTAATTGCTTCCTCTCTAAATTTTTCATCTTGACTTTAGCCTTTGGATGGTTATCTGAAAGAAACCATCAAGAGTTAGATACTCTCAAATTGTAGTCTGTATTGAAAATCATTGGTCCTGTCTGTTTTTGGAATTTAGTATTAGAAATTGGCTTGGAAGCAGTGCAGAATCTAGTCAGGAAAGAGTTGTGTTTTATTTTTTCCCTTGAAAAGATTATATTTGGATTCTGGGCACTGTGGTTTTTGGGAAGGTAGAAGGTTGGATGCTTTGAAGCGATTAGCCTTTCAGATGGTGTTAGTTGTTTATAGTGGCAGATAGGACTTGTAAGGATTGATTCTCTAAAGATCAAGCAATAATGGAGATGATGATGTATCATGTGATGACAACAAGATGGATTGGATATGGGTACTGAGGTATTTGTAGACCCACCTCTTTAGGATGGCCCCCATGCCACTGTAACCAGGGGTTCGAACAGAGCAATAAAGGTTAGAAGAGCTAGTTTGGTTTTTGTTGGGACAAAGATTTTCATTTGCAACACACAACTACAAATCCCATTGTCCGTTGTAGTTCAATAGACTACCACTAGTGTTCTTCAGGATGGCAATAACTTTCTTTTCTGCTGTATGGACCTCTGCAATGAACTTCTGATTAGCATTTGAAGTAGAATTTCAAGCTTGTTTTGTTCGTGTAATCTGATTCCTTGGTTTCTTTCCTAAAAACGTTGCATTGTGTGTGAATTTTCAGTTAGGTTTCTAAAATAATAAAGCTGACAATTTTTCCATTGTTCTCAGGCTACCTGTTTTGGCTGGTGCTGCCGGAGCTTTGGGTGCTTCTTATTGTTCGCCATATCTTGCTATGGATGGCTCTTATCATGCACGCCCATCTGGACAGGCATCTTCACCGGCTGCTGCTTCAATGTCAGTAGAGTAACCAGATATTCATCCTTTTTCAATTGTATATGCACAGCTGTCTTCACCACATGATAATATGTTAAGATTATTCTCGAATATGCTGTTTTTTTGATATTATTGGCTTCATCCGTTGACTTTACAGTTTATCACTGTAGTGTATTTTGTTTGTTAGTGCAAATATGTTTTTGACCTTATTGAGATTGGTCAAAATGCTATTACCAGTGTAGAGCATCCTTCTTGTCTGTTATTTGAGATGTGTCAGTATGCTATCCAGCTTTCTTTAGTTGAATTACGACCTGCGGACGTACTTTTTCATGGTAGTTTGTGACATTTTATGCTTTGTAAATGATCTTATTAATGCTTCGGTGGCCTATTAACTTTTTACTTTTTAGCTGATTTCTTTCAGTAAATAGATGACAGTAAATCCTGATTTTTTCTTGGTATTCAGTGCTTGATACATGTTTTACTTATTTCTTTCTTTTTGTTTTGGTTAACCTGATTCTTACTATTCAATTGCAGCAAAGAAAATAATGCTGACAAGCCCAATAACGAATGGAATCCCTCACAGAGGCCTGGTAAGATACAATTGCTGCTTTTTTACTGCCTGCGGGGTTTGTGACTATATTTTGTCAGGGACAATCTTATGATTTCTCATCATAGCTCATTCATTCTCTTCCATTTTCAGAGGTCTCAAATGATGATTTTGTACAGCAACAAAAGAAGCCCATCAGGTATATCTGATCATTTGCCTTATTCGTGTTTGGTGTTGATAGTTGCAATTTTTTCTTATAACTTTTAGCTCTTGTGTGACCCTTTCTGCTAGGCTATCTTCTTCTCCTTCCCACTACTCTCTCTCTCTCTCTCTCTCGGTGTCATTTAGGAACTAAACCATTCCCACCCCCAGCTGAATTCTGCATAAGTGGATAAATGTTGACTAAACCAGTCTATTGTAGTAAACTTATTTATTTATTTATTTTTGTTTCTTCTTTGTCTGTGCAGATACTCAGAGATGAAATTTAACCAGTGAAGTTACTAGATAGGTGGACCTAGTTTAAATAAGCTATCAAGTTGTACATTTTCCCAAGCAAAGTATTTCATTTGTGGGTGTAGCAAAATTTGAGTACTACTTATGGTGCTGCAGGCCTCCTTCCACGCCCTCTGTTGTCTCCAGTTGTTGATCTGGTGCACTTTGGGCTGCCATTGTACTCTGAAGTACTTTAGGTTGGTAATGGAATTTTTAACTTTTGTTAGTGTGCTTATTGGTAATCATGTGCTTTATACTCTGGTTTGCGATACACGTTAAATTTCTCAGGGTTGGATTTCTGGTCTCTCTGTCTTATACTGTTGCATTTGAGAAATTGATTTATTTGGTGGGTATATTATGCAGGTGGTGAGGGGGGGGGGGAGGGAGGATCCATAGAATGTTATTAGCTGATCACTTGAGTATTCTGAGTGTATACTCTCTAAGGTTTAACTTGTGTGGATGTGTATGGACTGATTAGGTAATGATTGTTTTTTGTCTTGAAATCAAAGAGACATGTTCTGTAAAGCTTTTTTTGTTGAAAAAGCATTTTGCATTGAAATACTGGAAGATGTTGCAATATTTCTTTGCACCTGTTTTGCACCCAAGGACACTGGTGGTAACAGGATTAACTATTTTGTGACCTGTAATGCTATATTTGGAATTTGGACATCAATCAGTACAGACTGGAGGTTTTTATCTTCTGCACTGATATATGCTTTTGAGATTGAATATCTTACTCTTTGCTAGAGATTTGTCCTGAGTTTGTTATTGAAATCCTGCACCATTTAGCTCTTTTGATTGAAAAGCCAAGGATACGTGATCTATAGTTAATGCCTATTAGAATTCTGTCTTGTCATTTCACCAATCTTGTTAGATTTCTGTATGATTTTATTGCCACTGTGGATTGTCAATATTCAGCATATCATCTATTGAGTCGAGTCTTGGATCATTTGTTCTTTTTGTGCCCTTTTTGGTGTTTCCAGGTATTATGTGACAAACACCCTCCTTATGCTGCTTTATTCAAAGAAAAACAACACAGCTTGACGGGTGGTAGTTCAATATTCTAATAGGCGGTAAGAGCCAGAGGGTTCCCATGCTTTATGTTGATATTTGAAATTGAAAGATTATAGATAAATGACGTTCCTCCTTTTTCAATGTCAGGTTCTTTTGGCTTGGTTTTTATCATGAAGCGTGTGAGAAGTGTATCTGGCTTCTTGAAAAAAATTTATGGAAAAGAACAAGATATTGTTGTGCAGCAGCTGTTTGCTTCGTGAGACTAAGGTTTTTTGTTCTATTGGATGGTTTTGGTTGTCTTTTTTGGTTCATTTTATGATTAGTTGTCGTAATTTTTGAGAAATTTACTAATGGTGCGAGGGTACATTTGGTGACTGGATTCTTATAAAGTGAGAAAAAAAATTGTATTTGCTATAATGTTTTGTAATATTAGTTTTGCTTACAAGGACTTGGTGGCTATATTACCTTGTTCAACCACGTCAGCAAAATTTTCAATAATATCACATTTTATAGTTGTTTTTGAAACTGGATATAGTTGGGTGTTGACGTTTAATTCATGTGTAGGGTGCGTCTGGTTGTTTTGAATTGTTTTTCTGGATGATCTTATTTAGGAATATCCAGCTGCCTCGAGCTATTGTTGTTGTCATTGTCATTGTCATTGTCATTGTCATGCCTTGCAATCGCAGGCTATGGATTTTGAGCCATTGTTTGAACCATTTTTCTACTTGATTGCTTTGGTGGGTACTTCTTTGTTACCTTTGAACAATGTACAAACTAACCAGTGAAGAAATTTAAGTTTGGTTGGCAAGGGATTCCATGCGAAGCTTAGTGGGTTCTATCAAAAATCGATCCCACAAGGCTGAAGTGGGAAAGAGGAGGAGGAACTTCTCACTTTGATTAAAAGCAAGTTTTCGCAAACCCTGCATCATCCTTCGGAATTCTCTGAAACGGTGGTTTCATTTACCGGTAGGGAGAATTACACAAGTAGTTCCTCATATATTACAAATATGAAAATTTAGTCCTTCAGATTGAAAATGATCAATTTTAGTCCTTATCAAATAAAAAAGGATCAATTTAAGTTCTTTTTCACTTTTTCTATTGATTTTTGTCGGAAATATCTCACGCGCATACCACGTGGCTAACTTTTCGAGGATAAAAATGTTAAATCACTTATCTGTTGACTAAAATCATAGTGTAAAAGACGAATACTTTCCAAAATTCTTCTTCTTCTTCATTTCAACCAAATCTAAAAGCAAAGCTTTATTTCCATGGCAAAACTACTAACTTGTAATTGCGGTGTACCAGCTAGGGTGAAGTCGTCGTGGACAGCTGAAAATCCAGGAAAGAGGTTCTATGGTTGCGCTTACTATGAAGTAAGTGTGCCTGATTTTTGTTTCTTTTTTCTTTTAGAAAATGTGAGATTTGAAGAGATAATTTTGAACAGCATAATGGTGGCGGCGACTGTGGCTATTTCAAGTAGTATGATACAGACAGTTGTGAGAGGTGCAATAAATTAGTGAGACACACAATAAAATTGACGAAGAGATTAAGAGAATTGGAGGCAAAGTTGGAAGAAACAAGACGCAAGGAGAAAATGATGAAATTGTTGCTGTTTGTAGCGTTTGTTTTCGTAGTGCAGAATTTGTTGAGTAAAGATTGAGTTGTAACTAGCATTTGTTGGCGCAGGTGGTGAACTGGGAACTGGGTGGCTTTTATTTGCTGTATTTAGGTTGGGTTATGTTTAGTGGCCCTATTGATTGTACAAATAAGAGTTGGAATGTAATAATGAAGCTTAAGTTCTCTCTGGTATATTGTGATTTTTTCTTGAATATGAGCTTACAACATAAGATAGAATAAAAGTCTAGCTTGAAAGATAATGAAGATGATAATGGCGATATTATAAGCGAAGAAAGAGTAAAAAGTGAACCAATAATCAGTCCCTTCAAAAATAAGAACAGCATGCATTCCATTGCAATGAAAAAATAGCACATAATCGAGCCAAATACATTCATTACAATACGCCTCTTATAAAAAAAAAATGCAATGAATTAAAAAATCAATTCCATTGCTCCAAAAAAAAGTCCGCTGAAGTCGAATATAAGGCAAAAAGGTGAAAAATAATCCATTTGTAGCACTTTCAGAAGTAAATATCTTTTGCAGTCATCCTTTTTTGCAATAACATGCTGTAGTCATCTAGGCCTTTTGAGCCATCTTTGCAACACTTTTAGAAGTAGATATCTTTGCAGTCTTCTTTAGATTATGCATGTAGTAGACAATACTTACAGTCAATCCATGTGGTTCCCATAGGTGTCTCCTATAGAGAGAGGCCAATTTTGAATCACAACTACTTCGAGTGTGTTGAAATCTTCAACATATACCACATCTGTACTTGATTTTCTTACCCTGACAATTGGCAACCAGAAATTCAAGTAAATAATAGTATAGAAAGGAGTCAACATGCTATTATTAGTATGAACAAATAGAGAAACATGAACTGGAGATGGTGCATTCTTTGTTGTCATGTTGGAGTAGATGGTTGACTTGTTGTGAGTTGATCTGGAATTTGACTGATGAGATCAAACAAGACTTGGTCACTTGTATCAGTCTCCAAGCCACTTGCACCAAAAACTGTTTCAGGTGTGAAATTGGACTGCTTGTTTGCAATAGGAGTAGCATTTTGAGGCCGGTAATCTTTTTGGGAATGCTGAGGTTGGGACTGCTGAGTTTGGGACTGCTGAATTTGGGACTGCTGAGATTGGGACTGCTTGTTTGCACCAGGATTCACAATGTTAGGAGTCTGCTGTTTTGGCTAAGAACTACTTGTAACCACAGTAACTTGTTGCTGGACATTTCCTTGATCATGACTACTTGGACACTTCCTACTATTGTGGTAATTCTGTTTACATTTTCTGCACTTATAATCCATTAGATCAACTCTAGACAGTCTCTTTGTTTGTTCTTGAGAAGTTGTTGTAGCTGGTGGCTCATCTGGTTATCTCCTTCTTATCTTCTTTGGCTGGCCAGGAAGCTTGATGGTTTCAGGTGGCAAAACAAGCCCCTGTTTCAAATTCTTCCACAAATGCTCACCATTGAGAGGATATATTATGGGCCTATATGCCCTCATATAGGCCTCTTTTGAGTAGCATTCATGAACAAAGTTCTCGGGAGGCTCTTTTGTCAAAGCAATGACACTTATTGCATGAGCACAAGGAATGCCATTTAGTTTTCACCTTCTACAACTACAAGTTCTGCTAGCCAAATTCACAGTGTACCTATCCCCATACATACATCTCACATCATAATTTCAGTCCCCTGAAGGTGTAGCTATGCATGCATTAGAAGCTGTTTTTACCTTTTCCAACTTTTTAAAAATTTTGGGACATGCCTTTCATGTATACTTCTTCATCTACTCCCTCTTATTCTCTATTCTAACCATTAAATAAAGTCGTTTTGTTTCTAACATACCTAGTATAGGCCTCTCCCTTGTTTCTAAAATGCTGGAGTTGAAACTCTCCAAAGATTATTCAATAAAATGTCACATTTAGGGGAGGTTCTGAAGTAAGTTTTGGACCATTGCTGCGGTGTTGTGTTGTCAAGCAACCATTGAAGTGCACCCTCATCAACTGCTTTCAAAACTTCCATCAAAGCCTTGAACAGATTTTTGTAAGGAGCTCTTGCAAGTACCCAAATTCTCTCATTTAATGTCAAACCACCATGTAGTTTTTTAAAGTTATTGTACATGTGTCTCACACACGTCCTATACTCCACATCTGAAAGCAACTCTTGAATAGATTGAATCAGTCCCTTCAACAAATAAAAAAGTGAAAATAGATTATCAAATTAAAACTAGCAAACTCAGCTTAAAAAAACCCCAGAAAAATACACTAACATACCTTTTGTTTATCAGTAATAATTGTCCAATGATTTTCATCTCTTATTTGGAGGTTATTCAGCAATTCACCCACGAACCATTTTCAAGTCAGCTTATTTTCTATTTCCACCACAGCATAGGCAATGGGATACAATTGATTATTGGGGTCAATTCCTATAGCTGTAAGCAACACACTGCTGTGAGGTCCTCTAAGATGGCAGCCATCTAACCCGACAACAGGCCTACAACCGCTTAAAAAGCCTGTCTTGCATGCATTAAGACAAATATACAACCTCTCAAACCTATCTTCTCCCTCATCATCTTCAACAGTGGTCATGAAAACATTTGAGTGAGAATTAGCCCTCTTTACTTCCCTACAATAGTTTTTTAGTTTGTTATATTGGATTTCATGTTCACCATTAACAAAATTTTTTGTCTTTTTCTTGGTTCTATAAGCTTGCCACCTAGAGATATTGACATTAACATTAGTCTTCACTTTGTCTGTGAGTGTACTCACCTTCATGTCAGCCATAACAGCCAGCTCCTTTTTATATCTATCAACCAGAAAAGTTAAATTTGCTAGTCTGTGGTCAAATGTCCTCCCATAACTGTGTTCACCTTGTATGCTCTTGATTTGAAAAATCTTTTTGTCTAGCATAACAGCTGTAGAAACTTTCCAGCTATAGTCCTTGTAATAAGCCATAGCTCTTTTGCCATCATTTTTACTGAACTTTATCTTCCTTCCGTGAACCACTCTATGGCTCTTGCATGCCTTTATGAACAATTGCTTACAAGTAAAAATCTGTTCAACCTCAAATTTGGGATCGACCATATCAGTTTCAGGGTTAAATTTTGAAAACTTAGCTCTTTTTCTTGGCTAATCTTCTTCTTCTGAGTCACACCAATTATCAAATTCATCTGAGTCAGTAGCATCTTCTTCCATCTCAACACCCTTCACTTGACATGTTCTCTCCTTTATACCCTTATTTGATTTATAATTTTTGATAATTTTCTCTTATTCAGCTTTTCTGTCTTTAACAGATTTTACTATGTCTTCTTCATCACTAAACTCATAGTCACTATCAATGAATTTGTCACCATCACCAGGTTCATCATCTTCCTCAACATGTGTCTCATTCTTACTCTTCTTATTTCTCTCAACTTTTTTAGCCTGCTCATTATTTGTTAAAGATTTTTTCTTTAATGATTTCTCTTTTGGTGATTTGCTAATAGAATGTGCATTTTTTCCTGCATTCTGTACTTCTGAGTTTGTCCCATCTTGTTCTTTTTTAAAATTCTGATCAGCCCTCCTATATCTACTGCATTATCTCCTTTATCAGCAACTCTAATGTCAACTTCTGAAAGCATTTCACCTAAATTCTTCTCTCTTATAGCTGCTTCCTCTATGTGTTTATTAGCTCCAGACTCACCAGCAGCTATGCTATCCTTTTCACCCTCATTTTCAGATTGAGTTACAGGAATATTAGTCATCACTATTTCTTCTACATCAGAAGATTTTTCATGCACCTTACCACCCTGTTGATTTTCCTTAGGATCAGTCCTCTCTTTTGGTTTACATGGTCCAGCTTCATATTCACTTATGGAGTAGGTTTTTAAGTGCACAAAGTATACATCAACTAAATCATATTTCACTCCGTCTCTAACCAGATCTTGAACAACATCTTCACATAACACATACACTAACCCATCCTGCATGCTGTTTCCGGGTATTAAATAATAGTATATTACACTAAACTCGGGATAACTTAGTTTTTCTGCAACCCTATCAAGTGTACATATAGACCATCTGTTAGGATTGCAATAGTCAACAATTTTTACACTATCCTCACGGTATTCTTTGTTCGGCAACTCAGTGAATTCACCTTTATAGTGGACCTTAATGGAAAATCGATTCATACCATCTGCCAACCATTTAGGAGACAGTTAACAACAAAAAAATTATTTTGGGACCGATCGCTCATCTATGTAAAGCGACAACACAACACAATACAAGGGACCACATGTACTTACAACAATTTAATACATAAAATAGACCACCAGCAACCCTAATCAATATAATAATACTTCTTAACTGCACAAATCATGTTTATTGCAAATGTATTTAAACTATTCACACAGTATCTGACATCATTCCATAAATTTTACAGTGTAGGGTTTAGAAATACATACTGTAATTCGGGATTCATTGAATGTTTTTTTCGTCCATCACTCTGGTACGCTTGTTTCTTCTTCGCTTTAATCACCAACGCTTCTTTTCATCAAAATCAGTCCACTGCTGGGTAGTGATAATTAAATTTCTTTTTGGGTTGAGAGGAACGGAGATGGAACGGTGAGTTAGTATCAAAATGGAGATTTTTTTTGGAAAGTATTCGTCATTTACATTTTGATTTTGGTCAACAGATAAATGGTTTGACATTTTTACCCTTGAAAAGTTGGTCAAATGGTGTGCGCGTGAGATATTGCCTCGCAAAAATCAGTCGGAAAGGTGAAAAGGGACTTAAATTGATCATTTTTTATTTGCTAAGGATTAAAATTAATTATTTTCAATCTGAGAGACTAAATTTTCACATTTATAATATGTGAGGGATTACTTGTGCAGTTCTCCCTTATCGGTATGCCATATAATCGGATGACTTTCCGCAGGAATAGTGGGCGTAATTAAATACGCCGGTGGTGGACGTAATATAATATACTAATATAATATGGGCTGGTCACCGATTCCCAACAAATAAGATGACGTTTGCTGCAGATGAGACTTGTTAACAATCACAATGATTAAATGCAATATGAGAATCTCTCATATTGACATGGGAGAATATTTTATATGTCTCAGCTGATAAGTTTAAGCCTTTCCATAAGCAATGTATACTTCACTTATCACAAAAACATATAAAACGATGATAGCAAAGCTTCGTAATTTAGGGACTAAACGCAATTTTTCCTCTTTTTTTTTTTTTTTTTTTTGTTAGCAAAATACGTCAATGCTTCATCTCAATCAAGAAAGTAATCCTTTTTTTTTTTTTTTTTTTTTTTTTTAAAAAAAAATACCAACAGGAGGTGGTGGATAGATGGAATTTAAGAAGCAAGAAGAGAGTAAAAATGAAAAATTAAAATTTAGAATTTCTAATTTTTGAAACCTTAATTTTAGTTATTTGCTTTGCAGTTGTATATTTTTTTTATGTAAATTTCTCGGAGAGATAAAATGAATTCACAACATAAAAATACATGAAAATCCCCAATATTTCTTTTTTCTAGAGTTGCATCATTCGTTAGTTTAACCCAATCCCAATTTAAGTTACTAGTAATTGAAATGAAAGTTCAACGGGGAGCTAAAACTTGAAAAAAAGTACAATTAACCGGTTAAGCACTGCTATAATTAGCAGATCACGTGCCATCTTCCTTCTTCCCCCAAACTTCTCTCTCCGCCCTCAGACTTCACCTCATGTCTTAGCTTACTTCTTGTCACTACTCAACTCACAGCATTTACTGATAAAATTTATTTTTTTTGGTTTCCCTAATTCATTCCTACCTCGGTTCATTCTCTCTTTCTGGAAAGCTTCGTGACGGATGAGCAATGTATGTCGGTACCTGTATCGAACTCCGCATTCTTTCAGTTCCTCTGTGAAAATTCTAAGTAAGATCTCGAATTTGCTTTTTGTTAATTACTGGAACTTATTTAATTTTTTTTAAGATTGAAGCTGCACAATTATATTTCTAGTTACCGAGAGGGAAGAATGGCATGCTGTTGATACAAATTCCGCATTTTCAGGTTCCAAGTGAAGTAGATCACTTCCTAGCTCGCTCGCTTTTGACTTAGAAGTTGGGGATTTGAATCTCAACTTCCAGCTAGCGTTTCTCCCTTCAATTCTTATATAATTTGAATTACGGTAATTCCTAGGGCTTGAATTCAGTTATTTCACTTCCTTTACCCCTGTTTTTTTTTTTTTTTACCATTTATTCAAGTAGAAAGTCGAACAATTCTACTGCTTGACTTTCCTTGTCAGTGCTGCCCTTGCAACCGTCCTAATTTAGGATTTGACAATTTCGGTAACTTCCCATTGGATGCAGTGGGAATAAACTCTTATAATTCGTGGACTTGAAGTTTTAAATGTTTTATATTTCTACTTCAGTATGAGATACGAAGGAAGGTAATCTATGATGCGTACTTTGAGTTTATAGACTGGAACTAAAAGACTGTGCGTCACTTTCTATGGTAGATTTAAGAAGCTAAGTGGTTAAAGGGATGACTGCTGATCCTGGATTTGCTTACTGTATAATTTAATCAGTAGACCAAGAAGATTTTAGAAACACTTGCAGCAGATGATATCCAAACAGCACTCGCATGTCTCGTAGCAACAGAAACAGCAACACGCCGCGAACAAACTGCACATCAAAGGTTTGCAAAGAATTACATGCAACATATTTACATGTGGATATTCTGGTTAAGGTAAGGATTTGACTAGGTTTTCGGAACTGAAGAAAGGAGATAATATCCATATCCATCGCGATCTCAGTAAAAAATAAATAAATACAGTAATACAAAAGGAAGAAATTAATTAGATATACAGACCAAGCATAGAGGCAGCCTTTATCCGCATGTCGCTGCTTAACATGATCGTAGTAAGACACCTCTTGATAGACCGGCGGGGCATCCATCTTCAACTAGTTCTACTAACCGCTTTTGCTTTCTTATACACAGGCAGCTTTTAGCTAGACTGCTTCAGAGTGAAGCTTATTATTGCTATCAAATTCTAGTTAAAAGTCATAAGCCAGGCCTGTGCTCTTTAAATTTGTAGGGTCCAAGGATGTATTTTTTATAAAACTAAAAAAGTCTGAATTCATTGAACGATTGAATTGTTAAGTTTTAAATCTAATACATTCGAGTGCATATCATATTCAGTGATAATTTTGGGAGCAAGTTTTGCCTAGAAAAATTTAAAATCATTTAATTAATTCAGATGTTCGATTTTTTGTCATCAAACAGGATCTGAATCTATGAAATTTAACTGCTGAATTGAGTTATCTAAAATAAAAGACGTGGACTTGGCAGATTGGCGCTTAGGGATGGATGCTCTGGCATTTTGGCATATTCCGCTCTTTAGTCTTCACAATCACATCCGCCTGCCTCAGTTTCGTGTACTGATGAGTTTCTATTATTCCACGGCACAAATAAGTCCTCTATTATACATATGTCTTTGTTCTATCACACAAGCGTGCCGTGTGTCTCCTATCTCACCCTTAATTTAATTTAATTTATTTGTGTGCTGTTTAAATATATTATTGATTTCTTTTTTTTTTTTTTTTTCTCCTCCCCCTTTGTTTTAGCAGAAGAGTGCAGAAGGCTAATATGGCCGAGAATAGATGTAAATTTGACTTTCAATGGCTTCAAAGAAGTGAGAGTTGGAGGGGGCAAACAAGGAATTAGGCAAAGAATGGGAAAAGGCTGTGCGCGTAAAAATGAATTATATGATCCTCACTCTGGACAAGCTGACCGGGCCAGAATTTTCAGTCGTAAAACCACGAGTATTGGAGATTAATCCTGACAAGAAGTTTCCTCCTAGAAAACGAAAACGAAAACGAAAATATTCATCAACGTGAGCTTTTATTATGAAACGTCGCAAGGTGTAAAGCTCGAACTTTGCTTTACTACAATGGATTGGATGGCACTTAAACTAGTGAGAGGTGTAAATGCAGAATCATTCAGCTCAAGCACGAAGAAGGAATTAATTACGAAGGGAGAACAGTTTATATGAGTCTGACAATCTTTTTAACACCTGAGACCGGTTAAAGTCTCAATTTTGAACCAAACCAAGAAGCTGAAGGAGCTCAAAAAACTAAAAACAACAGGACCGACATAGTTTGCTTCACGGGCACAAATTAAGAGAGAATTGAATCAGTAGACCAAGAAGATTTTAGAAACACTTGCAGCAGATGATATCCAAACAGCACTCGCATGTCTCGTAGCAACAGAAACAGCAACACGCCGCGAACAAACTGCACATCAAAGGTTTGCAAAGAATTACATGCAACATATTTACATGTGGATATTCTGGTTAAGGTAAGGATTTGACTAGGTTTTCGGAACTGAAGAAAGGAGATAATATCCATATCCATCGCGATCTCAGTAAAAAATAAATAAATACAGTAATACAAAAGGAAGAAATTAATTAGATATACAGACCAAGCATAGAGGCAGCCTTTATCCGCATGTCGCTGCTTAACATGATCGTAGTAAGACACCTCTTGATAGACCGGCGGGGCATCCATCTTCAACTAGTTCTACTAACCGCTTTTGCTTTCTTATACACAGGCAGCTTTTAGCTAGACTGCTTCAGAGTGAAGCTTATTATTGCTATCAAATTCTAGTTAAAAGTCATAAGCCAGGCCTGTGCTCTTTAAATTTGTAGGGTCCAAGGATGTATTTTTTATAAAACTAAAAAAGTCTGAATTCATTGAACGATTGAATTGTTAAGTTTTAAATCTAATACATTCGAGTGCATATCATATTCAGTGATAATTTTGGGAGCAAGTTTTGCCTAGAAAAATTTAAAATCATTTAATTAATTCAGATGTTCGATTTTTTGTCATCAAACAGGATCTGAATCTATGAAATTTAACTGCTGAATTGAGTTATCTAAAATAAAAGACGTGGACTTGGCAGATTGGCGCTTAGGGATGGATGCTCTGGCATTTTGGCATATTCCGCTCTTTAGTCTTCACAATCACATCCGCCTGCCTCAGTTTCGTGTACTGATGAGTTTCTATTATTCCACGGCACAAATAAGTCCTCTATTATACATATGTCTTTGTTCTATCACACAAGCGTGCCGTGTGTCTCCTATCTCACCCTTAATTTAATTTAATTTATTTGTGTGCTGTTTAAATATATTAGTATATGAAAACTTGTCAAGCTAAATAAGAGAAGGTGTTTTGCATGTTTTTGAGGTTTCGTGAATTGAGAGAAATCAATCATCTAAGACCAATCTAATCATCTAATGCCATTTGTCCTTTCGGCCGGGGCTCTCATTTTCATTACGGCGGATATCATCGTATTATTCTACCTACGGTGATGCTCGGAAATCTATTGCTCAAGAAACAAACCAACAAGAATGGCCCCACACTTCTTTGCTTCCTCTCCTCCCATGGCGATTTCCTTCACGGAGTAAAAGTAAGCACTTCATCATTGACTTTTTAACTGGTTTCTTCCTTATTTGGTCCAATTATCAACTCGGTTGGGTTGAGCAGCCAGTTCACTGGGCAACTGACTGACCCGTCGCGGCTAGACCGGGGTTTTGTAACCATGCCTCGCAAAGACTAACTTGTTTGGCCCCGTCACCGCGGTTTATGCAACCGGTGAATGCTGCTGCCGCGTCATTTAAAAGCGAACAACCTAAACCGGTCAATTCGCCGTGTACTGGAACAGAGCAGAGACCTTACCGCGCGCGACGAGCAATATTGACTAAGAATAGCATTATATGATTGAATACTAATGCGGCTGTTAGAAGAAATCATGGATAGGACAAGAACATATAATCAAGAATCAGGACTGTATTAGGTCCTTCCATTCGTTTCTACAAGTAAAGTCTCGCTCTCACTCTTTTTTGCCAAGCAGAAGTTCCATATAAGGAGCGCATTAAGCACGTAAGAACGTTAATGCAACATTGCCATGTATTTATAGCTTCGGCAATAATATTGGCTCTATCTGTTCCCCTTCTGTAAAGCAAACCAGAGTTTGTAAGCCTGAAACAAAAAATTTCTCCGCCGACAAAAAAGCAACCACATAGCGGAATACTGAACATAAAAAGATATAATTCTTAGTCAGGTTGATTGAATTAGATGTCCAATCTTCTTGCTGAGACGAATACTCGAGTAGAATTTGGAACAGCAGGGAAAAGGAATTACAATTGTGGAAGAGGAGGAATTACAATTGTGGAAGTGGGGTAGACATGCATACACAATGAAACTGCATCTCCTATGGAATTTCTGCCTAAGTTTCTGACTCTTAAATGTCATGCATCTGATGGGGGAGAAACCAGGTTTTCAATTCTGGGGTTAAGCCTGAGATTGTAGCGCAAAAGTTGAAACACTACAGTTGTCCCTCTTGTAGAAACTACTACCATATATAAGTACCACAGGTGATCTCCAAAAGGCATGCTTGTAGCTCTGCATACGGATGAGAAGACAAACTAGTCTAAACACATAAACTCTGCATCCTATTTGATCCAGGAGCAACCACGAAAGCGATGATGTGCCAACAAAGTGTGGTCCTAAAGATCATAACATCAGTTACGTCTCCAGTAAGATCAGCTACTCAACCAGGAATCAAGACAAAAACAGTAGTACCTAAAACAGGATGCAATGTGCAAACGGGAAAGCAACCAAAGCAATCTCAAGAGTTCAAGAAAGAGAAAGTGGATAAGTTTCAAATTGTTTCCTACAAATAGCTGGTCAATTGTAAGAAAGAAATATGGAAACTAGTAGTAAATCCGGAGAACTAATAGCATCATTCTTCAATAAGAAACTGCTAGAAATTGAATAATACAAATATTACATCGAAACGACCCCTAAAGGGGAGCAACTCTACAAGACTAGCAAGAATAATTGGGATAATAAATGGAAACCAAATGGTAATCTCAGTGTGGAATTAAACAGTAATCAAACAATTTCCTGAGCTACATTTTAGCTATCTACCTTCTTCTCTTTCGCCTTCTTATACTCCTCAAGCTCCTTCAACCACAAGTCTCCAAACTCACAATCCTTCCATGCCTCGAACCATGGGCCTCCTAATGTATAATGTATTGCCTTAGGGAATGTGCTTGAATCGCCCTCAACAACCCTGTTATGCCCCACAAGAAAATTCCACACGAACGGAATCTCCCCAATCTCATCATCCTCCAACCACTGAAACCTGTGCAAAAATGCCCCTGATTCTGTGTTCACCACCTCAGGAGTCAAGATCCCATTTTTAGGGTGACTACAATTGTACAAAACCATGGAAGACCAATTCTTCCTCGGATAAACCGTCTGCACAGCCCCATCCATTTTAGTTGTTTCTTTAGGGGCATAATCATGTTGTACACACATTATAGCAAATCTATCATCAATCAAATCGGTTAATTCCTTTATATCACCAAGATACAGAAAATCACAATCAACAAACATGGCCCAACCTTCATAATCAGCTAAATGGGGAGTCAAAAACCGCGAAAACGAAAATTCAGTGCTCTCTAGCTTCCCTCTTTCACGCCAATAAAGACCCTTTCCCCTCAATTCAGATTGCTTAATTGGGGTAATCTCAACTGGGATAGAAGATCTTTTCAGCAATGAATAACGGCAAACCTCGTAAGCGATGTCCTCACGGGGATCATACCCAATAAAGATCTTCAATTTGGGGGGCTTATCAGCATTGTCCTTGTTAGCATTGCCGTTAACCAAACTCTTGGGAAGCGAATCAAGTCCAGCCCGAGTAGGGCTCAAAGATTTCTTTACCTCTTCATTCTTGAAATTCGTTTCTGCCACCAATGTAGACATTACCGTTTTTCCAAGAGTTTCACTCCTGCAGCCAAACCCAGAACAATCAAAATTGAATCTTGAATAACAAGAGATCATACATTACCTACGTACAGGATTCCGTACCTTCTTGGAAGAATTGGATCTTCTAGATCTGGGATGGACCTGAAAATGGAAAAAGAGTGAGAATTTTGGTCTGTGGGGTGGAGAAAAGGAGTCTAAGGAAGTAAGAGAGGAAACGCGGAAATTTTAGGGGCATTGATATCTTCGGTGTGGAGGAAATCAGGAGGGGATGGGGGGAAGGCATAAGAATTGAAGGAAGGCGTCTTTACAGTTGTCAAACATGTGTCGGCACGGGGATTTTGCGTGGCTGTAAGTGGTAATTCCGCTGCGCGTGCCGGCGGTCTTGTGGATGAATTCTAGATGACGTGAAAATCTCTGTGTACTGCCAGTGCTAACCCGCTGTTGACTGTTGATTGCCTCTTTTTTTTTTTTTTTTTTAAAGGGTGTACACCGCTTAAAATAACGTGTTGAATTTGAATTAGGAAAAATTGTAGAAACCTCCCCTGAAACTACTGACACTTGCACTAACCTCCCCTCTAAGTTCAGAAATGGCATACAGCACCCCTGAACAGGAACAATATGTTGCAGAATCAGTCCAGGCAGCTTGATGTCCCGTTAAAAAATTATTTGTAGAAGTGAAATAAGAAATTTCTTCCAAATTTGCCCTGATCTTGTTTGACAAGTAGTATTAACAAGGGAAGGGCATATGCATTAATCATCAAGTAAGTTCAGGGGGTATAAATGCAACATCATGCTTCCAAATGCAGACTTGCAACAACTTCATTTGCTGAGAAACCAACGACTACTTAACGGCTAATTGTGCAGTTCCTTGCACTAGCTTATAAACGATGGTCAGACTCCCATGAATACCGGGATTACTACAAAATAATGAGAAGCAATTTTCCAACTCAGTTTGCACAGCTTGCTTGATACTCAGTTTGGCAGCTTCAAGTCATATTGCAGTCCCTAGAGAATGGCTTCTTCCAGCCACAGGAGAGCATTATGGAACTCCCCAACATCCTTCACAATACAAAACAAATATTGCTGGTGCAATCGAAAGGCAACATTGAAGAGTAGTAACAGGAAATGATTAACTTCATCAAGCATCAAATAAGAGTAACATATAATTCTTGACCAGATTTGGCTTCAAGTGTTAGAGATGATAATTCACTTGATGTTTTTAATGACTAACAGGGTAATATGGCACAGATGCAACGACCTTTGTAGGTGATGATGAAACCTTGGATGAAAGAGCATTTACTGCTGCACTAAGGAGCTGAGTCGAGCCACCGCCAAAGACTATGTATTTTTCGTCTGTGATTGCATTTCCAGCTGTAGCATGGAGCTTTCGTATTTGCTTCTCCAGTTCTTTAGATGTTAGTGAACTCTTCAAATTCATAACCCATGCGATGCCATCCTACCACCATAATTGCACTACTTGCTGCATTCTTCCTCCAGAAAGGCTCCAAGAACGTCGGGTTTCTGCTGCATGCAACCAAGAGAGTCAAGATTAGATTTCAACGTTTTTTCAGTCCAATTCAACATACGCAAGGAATGCAGTTCTGATTCATCAACTAAAACTGTAATGTAGAATTTTTTTGCTTATCTAAAAGTATTAGAACTTTTCAAAAAGTTTGCAAGTATAGACCACTGGAGAAGGGATTTCAAAAAATTCAATCTAGAATTCACAACGGTATAAAACCCAAATTTTCAGACCTTGGGCAATTGACCCTTCCTTCCCCCCGCTCTAGTTCTATCTGTGGTTAGACTAATACTTATCAGCGTCTGCAATGCAGTCAGGTATAAGCTCTGAACAATCATGGCCTGTATAGCATCCATTACATTCACAAACTGGTTTTCCACCATCTAAAACTAAGCCATCTAGGTGGGCACTTCCATGGCCTGAGCATGAAACTGACCGCAAGTTGTCTTGCAAAAAATAGCGAAAGTAGATCACACGTACGTTCTCTTTGTTTGCAGGAGATTTTTTAATCTAAATGTTTCATTCAAAGTTTTGTTTGACAATCTGAAAGTAGTAGTGGAAAATTTACATAGATTTCATTTCTTTAAAGTTGCTAAGCCTTTCAAGATGCATCATCTTAATTGGATTCACATTTTCATCTAGTTTGAAGAAAAAAAAAAACAAACTTCATCTAGTTGGCTAAATAGAAAAATGGAAAAAAAAAGGGAAAAGATGGGAAGGAAGAAGCTAAATGGTGGCCGTTATATATTCTAATTTCCCCATCAGTTAATCAAGACCAACTAAACTAATTAACAATGGCTACTTCATTCATTCCCAATTGGTTTTGAAGTAAAAGTTTATATTCTTTAACATGTTTTCAAAGGTAGTACCTGATCATGTTCCATTCACATACGGCTCGAACTCTATGTATTGAGCTTGGTTTCATAGACTTTTGCTATGAAAATGCTCTGCTTCATTCAGCCTGTTTTTTTTTTCTTAACTAGTAAATTTTGTCTTAATTATAAATCTAGTCCACTTGATCTGTTTAGCAAGTCACATTAATCTGTTCAGCTTCAAGTCAAAGGTAAGAGGAAGTGTTTGCCAATTAATTTTAAGGTGAAAATAACCTTTTTTTTTTTTTTTTTTTTTTTTTTTGTAAGCGGGAGGACTCGAACCCGAGATCTCATGCTTACACTCCCTCCCCCGTACCACCCAACCCAACCCTCCCCCAGGTGAAAATAACCTCAGATTCTGCAACACTAACATTAGTGCTAACATATGTAAAACAAAAAACTAAAACTATTCAAATTAGTGCTAACATGTATAGGTTACCTTGCACAAGTGCGTACATAAAGCATACACAGCTGGTAGAGTTATTGTAAGGTCAAATGTGATATTCATTGTACTTTAGAATCAGCTTACGCGTAACAAGAACTTAGCTCCAATGGTGCGATACTGGTTCATACTAATGCAGGAAGAAAGAGTTCCCCGTAATCAAATTTACGTCCTGCTTCTTTTCACAGCAAATTAACTTATAAGCAAGTAAAAGGTACACGTTTTTTTGTTGCAGCTGCGACCACGAGTTATTGATATATAATCCAATTTTTCTATGGAGAGTTAGTAGATGACTGAATTATTGGTCGTTGGGACATTATTTTTTTTTCTTTTCCGCGTTTTGTTTGGACAAATTAAGGTAGTTGGGAGTTGAGACTTGCATTGAAGAATCTATGCCGATGACTGAGAATGCATCTTAGGATAATGTTTTAGGTGATCGATTAATTCAGCATATTAATTGTTTGTTTAGTTTAATAATAATAAGAAGAAATAGTTTGTTTAGTTTAATTTGTTCAAGAAAGGATTTGTTGGTTTTGATGAAAGTAATTAAACCTTTCATCTGGTAAAGTTAAATCCAATTGAGGGTACTCTAGTAAATTCACACACTTTTACCTTTTAAATTGGTTCCAACTTTTTTTAGGGGAGATCAATGCTATTTCAAATTTGATAGAGGAGGTCGATGTTAGTAATAGAAACCTCAGGGGAGGTTTCTGCAATTATCCCTTTGAATTATTATGTAGAAAAGAAAGCAAGTTGCCCTACGAAAAGAGCTTAACAATGGTCGAATCACGAATGCCCTTTGAGTTGGCTTTCATTTCTAAATCTTGTACTCTAAGGTATCCCGACATACTAGTATTTGGCTTAAATCAGAGGGATTATTATGTGCTTCAGAAAAAAAAAAATATTAGAAATAGGTGCGTATTATCACGCACGCGGAGAATGTAAGCTTTTTCTCATTAATTAGAAATTTTCGTCAACAAGTGAAGATTATTTTTGGTGTAATTTCCAATCACACGCGCATTTGGAAGTCTATGAGGGCTGGCTCAACTAGTACCATTTTTAACATGTTAGGTTTGAAATTGTATTGCTACTAGAAATAGTCCCCCATGGCAGGCAATTTTGTAAAGGAACATCTTCATGGTGGATTTGAAATATTATGGCTCGACTTCATAATTGGTTAACCTCATCTTTTTCTCTTAAACTTTCCATTATCCATAACAAAAATAAGAAAAATGAGTAGGATGCTTTTGAGGCTTCAATCTTTAAATACAATAGCTTGTTTACCTTAAAAAGGACAAAAGACACTTCGAACAGTTTGTTTTGGACTTAATTAGGCCCATATTGGCCTTGAGACGATAAGTAATCTGTCTCAAAGCTGGCACGTCCGACCAACTGAATGTTGGCGATGCAGCTTTCACTGATGGAAGGCTCCTTTATCTCCTTTTTACACCACTCCCTATCTTTCATGTCACTGTTCAGCCCATGAGCCCATGCCATTGAGGTCAATCATAACAGGCCACCTTTTAGTAATCTGGACTCGGCCCCAGTGAAATAACAGATCCAACGTCCGTTTGACGCGTGATTAGAATCGAAAGAGAATCGAACTTTTTCAAACTCGATCGATCTGACAGGAATTGGCTCAAATTTGATTTGTTCACCGGTCAATTCAATGATAAATAGTATTTTATGTTCGGGTACATTCAAACTCAATAACAAAATTCGTTCAGATTCGAATCGACAAATAAATAAAATGAAATTTAAAATTCGGTAAAATAATTAAACAATAAACTTGAACACTGAGATGTTCATCTTGATTAGGTTCCCTTGCACCCCTCCTACTATAGGTGACTGTATTTTAGTTTCCAGCGAAAAACGCAAAGGCTTGAGAACATCTCGGAGAGTCTTGCTTGCCATTTAAAAAGAAGACTAAGCCGCTCTATTTTTTATTTCCATTAACTCAGTTTTCTTTATTTATAAAAAAAAAAAAAAAAGAAGCTGTTTTAGCTGAAAAACGTCATCAAGATTGGAAAGCCATGATCAACTTGATTCCCAAAAGAACAAAAAATCAATACAAAGTGGAAAATGTGTTGTGTCAAATCATCATATTACACGGTACACGGCCTTTATTGAAAACAAATAACAGTTTGATGCTCCAAAGATTTTGCTTTATTCTCTAAAATTAAACATTTTCTTCTCAAGTGGAAAAAAAAAAAAAAAAAAAATCCCTTCTGTGGATTCGTTTATTTAGGATAAAAAGGTTGAATTGAATTCCTCCGATCCCTTGCTGTAAATTCAGTGGTACCTAACACAGCCAACAATAGTACGTAGTTTGAAGCACACAGGTATGTGTAGAAATTAACTTCACAAAGAGTATCGTATTCATTTCAGGGTATCCAAATTTTACATTGACTGAAAAGGAAAAAGAAGCCAGAAATTTGTTCTTACACTGGTATATAACATATCCTATAAGTAATCCTCAAAACTTTAACTCCTCAAAGAGCCGACC